CCCCCCCCCCCCATATTATGAGAATATATATTCTTCTAATATATATGAGAATATATAATGCTTATATTATATTACAGCCTATTCATTTGTATAAGCTGTGTAAAAACAAGAACTGTGGCAAATCAGAAGACAAGTGGTCATATGAAACACATATGAAATGCATGTAAGTTCTTGGCTGACCACTTGTGAAGAGATCACCTAAAATGCATCTTAGTAGCAGGTGAAAACAGGGCTTTTATTTTGCTCACTCAATTTCCGACATATAGTGAATCATTTACAGGTGTCAGGAACCTGCTATCCATATGTGAGAAACTGGTATGTCTGAATTTACAATGATGCTGATTCATACATAATGTTTATGGACCAAACAAGATTCATGATTAGGCCTGAATCTGTGCTGTCAGGATTCCACAGAACGTTCAGCAGATTTTCATTCGCACAGTAGCCTACTACACAGCCCCAATCCTCGTGTGTTGGTTTATTTAATGTTTTGTCTAATTTGCTAATGCTTTCAGTTGCTTCTAAACGCAGTATCACATTCATCGAATGACTTTCCATATTACATTTACACAGATTTGGAAAACAAGCAATCAATGAATGATGTGTGGGTTAATTGAGTCTGTCTTGCAGAGACATGTTCCTGTAAACCGAATAGCTCCAAATGTCATGAGAGACACTATAGTGTTTGCCTTTTAAATCATGGCCAGAAGAGCACTCCGTCAATAGAACTTGTAGCCTGTGTGACAGTTGGCATCTGTTTCTCTCAAGTTACATTTGGTTTGATCAGAAAAGATCAAAGCCCTTAGGACAGTCATTCTTACATTTCAATTTTAAATTAATTAATTAATTAATTAATTTGTTTAAAAAAAGACCTCTCCACCCAATGTTAACTATACAATGTTTGTATTTAGCATTACACTAGCATTTCTTTGAGAAAACCGACATTTGCGTGATAGAATTTAAAGAGTTTATCCAAAGTGTTATATATATATTTGCTAAAGAACGTTAAAAACATGTATTTTTAGTAATCTACAACAGGATTTTTCACAGTGTGCTCCAATATTCTTGTTAGATTTCCTGCCTGAAATCTCCCATAGTTCAAGAACAGCGCATAGTGCCAAATTGTCTTTCTCAGTTGCACCAGCAGATGGCACACTCTACACTCCAGTCAGTCTCACATTCCCAGGCATACAAGGACTCAAAACTGTTTAAACAACTTATTACGAATCTCACAGAGCTTTGCATAGGTGTGCCTGAACGTCTGACACTATTGGCCAATCAGAATGCTCATGCTTCTCAGTGTTGCTAAGATACAGTGAAACAGTGTTGTAATGCAAAAGCGGCTTAAATCCTAAATGTTAGAATTAAAGTTTTGAATCAATTCACACATACATTTACATGCTTGAAACAACTTTATTTTCTTTTAAATGTAGTTTTAAAAAAGCATTTTTATATATTAAGCCACATTTAAAAATATACATACGAATGTCATTTTGACAATGTTTTATTAGAATATTAATGACTTGAATTAGAATTATTAGAATGCATGGCTGCTGAAAATTCAGTTTTGCCAGCACAATAATACATTTTATTTTAAAATATATTCAAATAGAAAACAGTTATTTTAAATTGTAATAATATTTTACAGTATTACTGTTTTTAATGTATTTCTGATCAAATAAATGCATCTTTGGTGTGCAAA